GCCACTCCACCAACCGCGACTATCTCAATATCTCTCACTTGTTCGAATCCCGGACGAGCCCCCAAATTGTAGGCGAAATCAGTGGATTTGTGAGAAATAAATAAATAAATATAAGAAATAAAATATGACTTTGGAATATGAGACGATATATTTAAGTTAATTGATTATTATTACAATAAGCAATACCGAATATTTAGCGCCGACTGACTTCAGCGGCAAATCGCTTTGTCGAGGAAACCTTCGACTCGTCTCATCGAAAATCTCTTTTCTTCTCAATTTATTAAACCGTTAATCACATAAGGTAAAAAAAAAAAAAAATACATGGAAGTACAAATACTGGGAAGTTTTGAACGCTGCTTACAAGTCATACATATATAATAATAATATTTATCGCTTGTCAAAACGGATTGCTGTCTTGAGAATCAACATTGGTTTAAGAGAGTCCTGGAGCGTTCTATATACGGGGTGTCCGACAATTAGTGTAAAATCTCTCGTAGGCAGGTAAAAGAAGTAAAACTGAGTCGAAAAGTTCTGAACCATTTGTTTTTATTATATATAATAAAGAAGTAATTATTGAATAAATCAAGCCAATCACAGCGCCGATCTTTAGCCGGGCGCACGTTAATGAGGAGCGCTCACACACACAAGGTGCGTGGTTCACTGACGTGCGTTCGACTAAAGGTCGGCGCTGATTGGCTTGATTTATTCAATAATTACTTTTGTTATATGTAATAGAAAAAAATGGTTCAAGACTTTTCGACTCAGTTTTACTCCTTCTACTTGCCTACGAGAGATTTTACACTAATTGTCAAACACCCTGTATATTGTGACTACTGTTACCGATACAAGTAACATCAACCATAGAACGTCGTTAGAGAAACAAGGACATACATTTGTAAAAAGATATTATATTAGATTTAAACGTATTATAGATTGTTTGTGTATTGTAAGCTTCCAAATCATAATCTAATAGTATCCTATTACATTCTTCAATATTATGTCTATTTCGGATACTTTTTCGTTTGTATGAATAACTCTTGAACTTTAAATATCAGTACACTAAAAGTAGAGGTAATTGTTCAACAATTTTTGTTAAGTTTTCGATATTGAAAAGTACCCGAGATATATTAATATTAATTAATTAATTGCATTATTTTCTTTAATTGCATTAAATTTTAATTACATTATTTTCTTTTGTTATGTAGAGCCGTTTTTCTATCCAAGCAATAAATACAAAATGCAATCTAAAATACGAATTACTCGTTCGATCGGTATAACAAGAAGGTCCAGGACTCTCTTAACGCTTTATGTTCGAGTCAAATTACGCAAGTATGTTTAATACGGATATATATTTTATATTCCTACACAATTATTTTTCCAATCAAAACCACTCGATGATGAAGTTCGTAGTCTTTTCTTTGGTAGAAAGTATGCTGAATCTTTTTTTCTCTTGTTTTATACACATTGATAAATTTTTTGTTTATATATTTTTGTCGACATATTGTGTAAGTGTATGCAGATTGACAGGTATTTAAATATTTCAATAGCCCATCTTTTCTTTGCTCAGAAGCTTTTTTTAAATTTGTCAATCATCTTGATATTTAAGTAATTTCATTTAAATCCGAGCTACTCTGTAATCTCGATTCGAGTCTTTCGCACAAAACAGAGATTTTCTTCAATATTATCTAAATCACTACTATTTTTGGTGGATTCGTTGTTAACATAACCTGCAAAAAGGAAAATTCAGGTTAAATAACAATTGTACAGCTTACATAAAATTGTACGTTTAAATTCCTACTTATTCTATAAATATCAAATAAAATTTATGTTTAACGCTTGCAACAAATTGTTTATAAATCACTTTTATATAATAACAATTGTACAGCTTACATAAAATTGTACGTTTAAATTCCTACTTATTCTATAAATATCAAATAAAACTTATGTTTAACGCTTGCAACAAATTGTTTATAAATCACTTTTATATAATAACAATTGTACAGCTTACATAAACTTGTACGTTTAAATTCCTACTTATTCTATAAATATTAAATAAAACTTATCTTCCACGCTTGCAAAAAATTGTTTATAAATCAATTTTATATCATAATTACCACAAACAACAATAAATTACAAATATACGCAGTCAATAATACAAAATACAACGTTCCACGCTATATGGCTTCTAAAACGAAACTCTACTTTCAGATACTTTCAAACATACATAACATATATAAATTTGAATATTTACACATATTGTGTTGTAAAAATATGGTTTCTTTATGTTTCTGTGACTAATTACAAAAAAACTGGTGACTTTCTTGCAAAAATATATGGATTTTTTAAATAATTTATAATTATTTGTTTAAATAATTATATATACTTAGAAGCGGTAATTTTTAACAAATAAAATCTTTTACTACTTATTATTACAAATACAATAAAACAAGTTTCACGAAAATCCATTCACTATAACTGGGTTCCGAGGTTTTTGATTTTTTGTGTCTAATTACTCTACTACTGTTGTTTTGATTCGTTGTACTTGCCAGCGTCTATTGAGCGGTCTTTGTGATGACTAGTCAAGCTAGGTACGTACATATTTACTCATATTGTATGTGTAATTTACATGTCTTTCTTTCTAACGGAATGTTTTTCTCTCATATTTTTATTTTACATATTATATTATTATTTACATTGTATTATTTACATTGTAAAGTGCTGACGATGATCACCAATACAAATTGATCAAAACGTCCGGAATGCACTGCGTTTTATCCCCGATAGCCAAATGATAGCAGTATGCCAGCAGTATGCACGCAGGTTTAATCATCACTTTGCAGCAGATTCCACTCAGCTGTGTCATTATATGTGACACAGTGAGTTAATTATGTATGCACGATATGTAAGGAAAACATATAGAAAATACAATATAGCAAAACTATAGAAATAAATAAAGAATGAAATGACGTTATGCTTCAAATTCGCTACATTCTTTTAGCATGTTCTGTTTGAATGATGCAATAATATCACAGCATGACACATTTATATTCTCTTTTTTCTGCATTTTTGTCGACACTAGTTGAAATAACAAATTATGTTTGAATACTAGCTACATTGTACTGGCATAATGTGTTATTGAAGACTTTGCAAAATATGCTCATTCAGTCTTGGTTATCTGAGATGTTATATTTGAACGTTCACCTTTAACCTGGGCCACAGGCTCTCTGGTTTTTTCCTTCTTATAATTTGTATCTTCAAGTCGTCATTATAATATTAATTATTATCATAGTAGATCTATTTTTCATTGCCAGTTATAATTTGATACAAAAACTGCTTCTTTTTGTAACAAAAAAGTAATGAAGTGCAAATGGTTAGATGATTTTGAGTAGCCAATTCAGACAATTCATGTGGAACTTATTTGCTTTTTTTGAATTTTTGTTATTGAATCATCAAAACCAGTACTCACATATTATAATTGATAAAGCAGACTCTGAATAAGTTTCTAAGATAAATCGATGAGCTTCGATAACCGCTTTCTTTTCGAAGCAGTAAAGTACTAAATAACAAAAATGCTCTTTATCACGTTCCATTTTCAATCGCACTAAAAAGTGTGATTATGTTTACGAATACAAGAACATGTGTCTAAAAATTGCCGTTTTTGATATTTTAATAATTACGTTCTTTTTTAGTTGCGTAGAAAAATCCTTTCATTTTTATTGCAATGAATTCCTGAGTTCTCAATCTACTAGTACAAATTTTCTCAAATAGCTGTGTCATTTTCATCCTACTTTTTTATTTATAAAATATGAACTCCATGAGAACATACGTTAAAAGTCTGAAATTATCAAATTTTCGACGAGTTTTTCGGAAATATTTTCCAAAACTAAATATGAAATAAAATATAAAAATAAATAAAACTTTGTAAAATTTTATTTTATAATCAAGAACAAAATTCTCAAGTTTCAAAAATTTTGAAATTTGAGAATCTTTTGTCATGTTTTAGATCCCAAATCTTAACACGTGTTAAGTGCCACGTCAATTTTACGTGACTTGCACACGGCGCCAGAATGAATTGTTTGCTATGCGACGCATATTATTGTGACATATTATGTACAACATATAAGTTGAATTACATTATCATGCATTTAAACCAATGACTTCCACGGCGTTATGGTGCGTTTTTTTTATCTCACGCTACATTTCACTTATTATTTACGAAAGTCAGTTGTCTCAATTGTTCGTTCATGTTTTGAATCTGTCCAACTATCAGGTAATGATATCCGTTATATTTCTACACGCTACATTAATTTTTGCATTTTATTTTTTATTTTTAATTTTTTAAAAATAATATGTCGTCAAACAAAGATCGTGTCTCAAGTAATTCATTTAACGATTCATTTTCATCATTTTGTTATAAACGCCGATGAATACCATCAAATAGTGAAAAAAATTCCACATCGCAACATGCGCGTATAACGTGTACGATTTTAAATAAAACTATTTTTATGTTTTATAGTTTATTTCATTAGTTTCTTTACATTTTTGTAATAACGATGATAATATTAAACATTTTAGAAGTATTGTCGTTTACTTGAATTATGTGTTTTTTGTTAATATTGACATTGCCGGTCACCGGTGACTTCCACAGCACTCAACGTGTTAAGTGAGCACATATACGAATTTGAATTCTAAATTAATTTAAAGAACCTATAAGAAAAAGAGCGATAATCTTACCTGTGAACATAGATAACAAAAATAAAGCAAATAATAAAAACAATATAATTGTTTGAGACGTTCATCATTATTTTCAAATCATTATTTTCTGATCATCTTCAGCTTTTATATAAAAAAGTAAAAGTGTTGTTTATAAAAATATAGAGTAAACTATTAGTTAATTGTAAACAAAAACAAAGAAACAAATGTCTTCCTTTTTCTAATTTTTTTTATGTCATCTTTTAAAATCGTCTCATGCGATCAAAAGTATATAGCAGCTTACTTACCGCAGGTATACACAACTTTGAGATAGGTCTTGCTCTCCGGTCTGCAAGGATCTGCTTTGCCAAACGTTGTGTTGCTAGCCACTACTATACATCGTCGTTTACCGTGGCATAAGTTTATTAAGGTTTCCGTAGCGAAGTCTATCGAGCAAGCTGTAAATAAAATAATAACATTATTGTAATATATCACACATATATAAAAAGAGATAAATAAATAAGAAAACAATTTCATATTTGAACTATCCTCTGAAAATATTTGGCGTAAAAATATGACAAAAGTAACGGAATTTGTATACTTCACGGTAATAACAAAAGCAGAAATGTGATTCACTCGCTACGCAAACGTTCAAGTTAAAAATATAAAGTTCTTTAAAAAATCGCTTGTATATTTTAAGATCCATGTATTTAGATTGTATTACGCAGAAATTAACATAAACATTGCACGCAATCTGAGAATTTAATTAATTTTCCGGTCTGATAAAAATACGAAGCTTGTCCGAAACGAACTTGCATTTTAATATCTGAGAAACTCGGCGAAATTTCGATTACATTCTGCAAACAGAAGGAAATATCACGCGCTTGTTTTCTCTATTGTCAAGAAATGAATAAAACAACGACTCGATAATGTACACGACAATCGCAATGGGAAAAGACTGTAAAGTTATAGATTTGACTTCACGCGGAACGACAGGAGAGAAGGAGGCCACGAGAAGCAGGAAGTCCCCGGAGTTTCCGATACTCTTTTGTGCGGGGAAAATGTACGTTTCGCTCACATCAACGAGCGAGACGCGACGACGCAGCGCGTATTCCAGAGAGATGTCGAGAGGACCGTGAGACATTCATAGCAAGAGAACACGAAAAAGCATTATAATGTTGGCGCCACTCAGCTGATTTTGTCCCTTATTGTTACGCTCACAAGCGGTGACCAATTGCGAAGCAACAACCTTTCTCTCAGCGCAAAGAGTAACTGGCTCGAGTCGACGGACGATCACCGGAAAAGTCAACCTGCGCGAAGAGCGAGGACGATTTATTCGATCATCGAGAACAGAGTCGAGCTATTCAAAGAGCAGAATTTGAAATTTTTTCTTTTGCTTGCAAAAAGTCTGTTAAGCACCGAAAATAAATCAAACCAAATAGATAATATTGATTTAATCATTATTTATGATTATTTATGATTATTTATGATTACAGGCTTCAAGGTCTTCAATTTAATTTTAAGATTTATCTCTAAGCCGTTTCAACTTATTTGTTTACCAAATAGATAAATAAAACAAAAAGATAATCTCACTCATTATTAAGATGTTATTATATTTATTATTATAAATTACTGTTTACTCTCGACACAACCGACCTTTGTTTCATTGTATTGTTTTTAATTCCGTGTCTGTAAAAAATTATTGTTAAATCTTAACTGATAGTTTTTGTTAATATTTATTTAATTATTTGAGATAAATGTATTTTATACTTAGATGTCGAAAATTTGAGATTGTATATCTTCGATATCGACAATAATAAGTAATAAATGACTGCAATTCGCGTGCGCCGCAGTGAATAAGAATCTTCTTAATAGCGTGAACACAATAACAATAACATTTCAAAGAGCTACAAAGTGAGAGACAGCAGCGTCGGGATAGCGCTTCGTGATGGTCAGAAGCCTGACAATGGTGGCCCATTTTCGTTTATGTGTTCCCACTGCAGCGAGAGACTCCGTGAGAGAGACCCTGTGCTTTGTAGAAACCGATTGATTGGACAAGACAAAAAGTCATCGTGGAAACGCGAACGGGGCACTCATCCACGAGTTAAAAGAATTTACTTTGAAAAGTTAAATAAAACCACGCCTGAAAAGCGAGTTCGTTTCCCCGTCCATCTTAAATTAAACGAAGTGGTCTCTGCATCCTCTTTTTTTTCCCGCGACGCGCAAAGGCAAATAACAAGCTTTTCCGATATCAAACGTCATATTTGATGCGCAAACGCATTTCTTTTTTATCGCCGAATTATCCTCATTTTTATCGTGAAACGGCAACACAAATTGTCCTTCCTTTTCCAACTCGCGTACGGGAGAATGGTACGAGAAGAAAACCAACTTTAATTTTCTCTTCTCACATTGTACGCAAACTTCATCCGAAACTTCGGTGACCACGAAACTAAGAGAGTCGCCAAGTATGACAATAAAGTAGGACAAACATTGACTCGAGTTTTTCTTTCCCAAAATCTTCGTCTCCCTCATCGGCAAACAGAAGAAAAGAAAAGAGAAAAGAGAGTCCGGCCGGAACTTCCGTCGATCGATCTTCGTGTATCGCCACTATCGCCAAAAGCGAAGGGATCATCGGTGGATTCTTGCAACTCGCCGCTCAGCTCGCGGGGATCGATCTTTCGCTCGAGATTTATATCCGACGATGCTATAAGACGAATGCCATTACTTTAATGACACGCGACATTTACGCCCGTAAATACTTAACGTCAACTATAACTCCGAAGAGTCTTCGTGTTATTATTTTCCGCGAGGTAAACGACGCACGCACTCGAAACGACGTGGTATAAAACTGAAGATGATATCGGGAACAGGAAGGAAAATCGCGAAAGTTCGCGACGTGTTGAAGCTCGAGTTTACGTCCGATTACTTTCTGCTCGAATAACAAGTGATAGTATAACGTGTCGAGCAGATGACGAAGTTGCGAATGTTACGCATAATCGATATTAAATAAAAATAAAAAAATTAAAAAAATGATAAAAAAGAAGACCTGTATTGTAATCTACACGAGAAAAAGTATCGTCGCCCGCCGACAACGTTAATACTTACTCTCCTCCATGACGCCTCGCGGCTGTGGACACTGCACGGACTCGTATTGCGTTCTACCGAAGGACGCGCTGAAAATCGCCACCCTGTAACCGGGATTGCAAACGAGATTGATGGCGTCGTTCTCGCAGGCAACCTTACTCCTGAACTCATCTGAAACCACAAAGGCGACTTTTAATAAACCAGTCGTCTCGCTGCGTCACGCGCGAAATGCAGTTATGTTCATGCGACGACGCTTCATGAAGTGTACTTTATTAGCAAGCGACCGGATTCGTCCCGTCGCTTCGTCGCCTTGTCGCATACGAGAGACGGAAAAGAGGAGGAAAGAAGAAAAACTTTTTAGCTGTCGGGACTTTGCGACAAATCGTAAATTCCGCGACTCGAACTTCGTGAAAGACGTTTTTTACGAACAGGCGTTTTCCCTCGAGAGTGAAACAGGCGTTGTCTGCTTGTCTCGTTACGACACATTGCATTCGCGAATTTCAATGAACCGGAATGGCTTGCAGCTGCCGATAATACGTTTTTGCGTCCTTCGCGGCGCAGAGATCGCGTCGGAAAGTTTCTTGCGCCGGACGCAGTTTCCGACGACCTTACGGATTGTCGGATTGCTACTGTCTTTGCGCGCTAATCTATCTAACCGCTTGTTTTCTTATATACGACACTAACTTGAGAAATATCAGTCTTCTACGAATTAATTGATGAAATATTTCTTTTGTGTATTTTTTTTTTACACACACGCGATACATTTTGTACGATGTAATTAGTTCTCTCGTTGATTGACGTCAGATAAAGCAATCACGAGCGGGAAACCACGATGTTTGAACTTGTTAAACCAGTGGAAATTGTTTGTTTTTACACGGAATGCAAATTAAGCAATATCAAACGAAATCTACATTTGACGAAAATTTTCCAGATATTTGAGTTTTTATTAAAATTGCGGTGTATATATAATCTTTCCACAATTTAGAACCAACGTTGTAAAGCGGAAATGTTTGTTACTTTCCGCTTCCCGCGATAGGCCCGCGTACAACTCGGAGATGGAGAGCGCGGGTTAAACTACAGTGATAGGAGAGATCAGGACACAATCAAGATAACATTCAAAATAAACTTAATTACGAGCCGTTTCCAAGATGTTGAGCGGAAACTGTACGTGTGTATATATATATATCTAAATATTTCTAAAAAAATCTGAAACAATGTGTATATACTCTTTAAACTGTCTATTTTAAGACACCATCATTAAATTTAGTGAAAAAAAAGTTTTAATTCATAATTTGTAGCAAATATGACAACAAGAAACTTACTTTTTTCAGAAAGTAATTTTGCTCTAGACGAAAATGACCCATGTCCGTCCGTTGAGGGTTAAATAATATAAGAAAAATTATTTAAAACTGTTATAATGTTTATACTTAAAATAAAATTGTAATCAAAATTTTTGAAATTACTAAAGTAACTAAAACATAAAAATTAAAAAATCTAATTGCAATGTCCAATTTTACGAAAATGCTTGTAAACACTACTTGCCATATTTTTATGATAAAAGCTATTTCGTACACGTAACTAGCACGATAGTAATCTCCATTATAAAGAAGAATATTTTTTTGTATTTAGTAAGATATTAACTGTGATAACTAACTCAGTGCGATTAGTCCCGCTCTCCTCTATATATTTATCATTGCCATTTCTCAGTTACCAAAACTGTTAACATAAATTCTTTTTTTTTTAGATAATTTTTTTTTAACAATTAAATCTTATTGAAGCTCGACAAGTTACTAAACTAAGAAGTATATTATTGGTCATCCGAGCCGATCGCAGGATGTTGTGCGGAAAACGGCGTATATATATATATATGCATATATATATTTGTTCGCGTGTAAATTTTTACGCGCGAGTTTTTTGAATTGAATATCAATTCTTAAATTCATATTGGATGCTAGATTTGCATCACATATATGAGAGATCCCATCCACCCCCCTAACTAATTTTGAAAATATTGCGAAAAAATACTTCTCAGCCAGGAGTTGAACCTGGAATCTCCGGCTTTCCGAAATTTTTTTTTTATTGTTTTTAATTATCAATAAAATGAGAATTATTTTAAAAAGGATTAAATCATTTTAGCAATTTTGCAGACAATCAAAAAATGATTTCCTTTTCTAAATGATTTTTTAAATATATCCTATTATTTTATTAATGATTTTGTAATTATTACTTTGATTACTTTGATTGCTTTTTTATTACTATTTATTTTTTATCGCTAGTTCAAACAGTTAATAGAATAAGAATTGTTTAAAAAACAAGATAAATCATTTAAGCAGCTTTCAAAAATCGGCTCATATAAGCTCAAATATTTCCGCTATAAAAACTCTTGATATAAAAGTCTCTTCGTCTCTCTATCTTCTTTAGCTTTCGTAAACTTGCAATTAAACGTATCATGAAACGTAGGGCTTCGTTGCGGCTATTTGGCGATAAAAATTCTAAGCGCGCTACGTGAGCGCGTTGAACTCGCTCACGTCGAGTGCAGCGAAATACACCGTGTGTGGTAACTCGTTGATGTATCGTTGTTTCGTTGCGGAAGAACAACTTTGACCGTAACCTCGCGATCCCACGCCGAGCAACATCTTTTCATACCGCGCGGCCATGTTTCTTACCCACGCACGGAAGTCGGCGGGCGCACTTATGCTTGAGATAAAGTGTTATGCCCTGCTTTATTGAGTTGGCGATTTACGGTGGTGGTTGCTGTCGGTTGTTGGCTTTCGAACTTCTTTTTCCAACGGAGGCCAATGGCCACGCCACGTTCGCCCGGACGATTTAAGGCGAAATTACGTGCAGTGTGAGCAACGCGAGCGTTATTCGACGCGATAGCTTCCGCCAACATCGCCACGAAAACACCAAAATCGGTTTAAACGCTATCAGCCAGCCGTAACAAATCCGCGACTAGTGTTGTCTTTCGCACCGTCACAAACTATTGCTCTGATTCGTTTTTTGTTTCCATTTTCTTTCTAACCTAACCTAACCTATATATTTCCACTTTTCTCGACAAAAATATATTGTTTTCTTTTTTCACTGTTTTTGATTTATACACGTCCTTCGGTTCACTGCATATGTGTACAAACAACAAAAAGTTTCAACGAAAGCAGATGTAATCTTTTTCATAAGTGTAACTGGATAAACTTACTTTTCTTTTCTTTTTTTCATAAATTCAAGTATAAAAGGTTAAAAACGTAAATAGATGTAGTTTATAAAAGTTTAAATAATAGTTCAATTGTATACACATTTGTTAAGTATAAAATATATATATACGCAAATGTAATGTATTTCAAAAATTTTACTTTTATTTCTTTTGTACTGTGTTTTTTTTTCTCTCAAGTTTTACGAACATATAATAAAATTAACTAACTTAAGAATAAAACTTTGAGAGCCATTCACTGGATGATATGTGCTTTACGCAATAAAAATATGCTTTACGCGTAAATTAACACACAAAGAAGATTTGAATTGAATAACAATTATAAAATTCATATAAAATGCTACTTTTACGCATCACATGTATGTAAATTATTCATTTAACCTCCAAATAAAATTTAAAAAATTCATTGGGAAAAAGACACCTTGGCCAAAAGATAATTGGACAATTTTGACCGAATTGAGAACGACTACACGAAATCCGAGAAATCCAAATGCTAACCAAGATGTCTTTTTTTAAATGGATTGTTTTTTATTTCATTGAAAGATTAAGTGAATTTGATATGTGATGCAAAGTAGCATTTTATATGAATTTTAGAATTGTTATTTAACACATTAACTACCACGCAAGTTTTATATGTCTTGTGTGTATGTGTGTCTCTGGGGACCACAATGAGATTTTCATAATTCTAAGTATATATACAATGATAAATATTAATATAGTTAAATAAGATCATATCCTTATCAGTAATAGTTTATCTTGCTAGTAGTTAAGCCGTGATCATGGCTCTACAATACACTCGGTTACTCTTGAGTTGCGTTTCCAAATTCGAATTTACTGAAAATCTATAGTTTACGTGACATATATTATAGATTAGCTTTCTCCTGAAGATGTTGAAAAAGACGTCATGAAACTCAAAAAAAGGAGAAATGAGTGTACAATCGCAAAAATTTTGTAAAATATGTTTAAAAAAAGTCAGAAATTTCGGTACACAAAATGCAAATATTACACAAAAAAGCTATCAAAAATTGCGATGGCAAGCTCTAGTTATTCACGTTGTTCAAAATTTTTTAATCAACAATATTTATCTTATTTTATAATCGATCTAAAACATGTAGTAACGCCGGTCACGGATGACTACCGTGGCAATCAACATGTTAATTCGAATTCTCTCTGTCTATTAATTTACGCGCTAAAATATAGTTTGCACATTCAACGTCATGGCTCCTAAAATCTTATTTCTTGATTTAATTTGTACTTATTAGAGCTATATATTTTATTATATATAGGATCGCAGTGCACTTATATATACTATTTAGTAGAGATAGTATATATATATATATATGTATACATATATATATATCATTTCTTACTCTACTGTATTTTACAATAAATATATAAATTCTTTTATAAATAAAACAAAATGCTTTGGATTACAGCAATAGATATCTCTTTTCCTATTTCTTTCATACTTTATTCGTGACAACTAACACATGTCATGTAAGATAACTACTTCTGTTGGTTACATACATATATAACGCGTTCCATTATAAATCCAATTACGAACCCAAGTTTATCTTCTTTAGCCATAATGAAAGATAATACATCTTCGTACCGTAAAAAGACAACTTTACGAAGTGGAGACGGTCCATTCTCCTTGAGACGGTGCAATCTTCCACGTTGTCAGTGTCAGATTATATCGGCTCGTCTCCAAGATTTTTCCTATGTAAGAGCGTCTACAGCGCTGTTACCGTCGGCCATGTTGCACGCAAGACAAAAATCGCCACGCGATACCTGGTCATGGTAGGTCTCTCGAGGCTCGTCTTCCACCTAGGAAAGAGCCAGCGCTCTTTCCGTCGGACGTATCAAAGACCTAAGCGTCAATGGCCCGTGAAATTTCGCCCGGAAGAGCGAATCGGTGGTACACGTGACTGTGAGAGCACATGGAACTTCCTTATTGCAGAAAGAG